TAACACTACCAGGGGTTTCCAAATTGTTCTCCCAAATTGGGGTGCATCTTGAGGTGATAATTGAGATAAATGGGTTAATAATTGAGTATTAAGTTATAAGTAACCGTTGACAATCAAAAGGAAAGTGAGACTAATTAGGCTGGAACACTTCTGACAGGAGTTTGGTTGGTACAATGTAAAGAATGTACGTGACGATAATTGTTAAATAATTACTATGCCAATTATCTCTTCATGAGAATTCTGTGTAATGTCCTCAGGCTTTACCACAAATAACAAGCTCAAGCAGTATTTAATCAGAAATAGATTTAGTGCATATTTTAGGATTTATTTAAGTTTTTTAAAGCATAAGCTATGTTTTTGTTTTTTTCAGTGTGTAACATTTGGGCCTGAGATGTACTTGCTTTTAACTACATGTTCTCATGCGCATGATGTCTGCCTTGTGCATCCTGCATCTCTTTTGACCATTGTTGTGCACGTCTTCAGATATTAATGCGATGTGTCTGCGACATAAACACAAGTATTTCTGTCTTTAGGAGGATCTATTAGCAGAAATGTAAATGAAAAGTATGTAGTATCACTTGAAAATAAAAATCGTGTTTTCGCTACCATAGAATGAGCTGTTTTTATCTACAGTGGGAGTGGGTCCCCTTTAACAGAGTCTACCATGTTGAACCGTCAAATATTCTGTAGTAGCCCTGAATGGCCAAACCAAACACCCACTTTAGACAGGGCCTTTTTCGTTCTTCGTGAATTTTGTGGCCACCATAGTTTCTCCTATACACGCTTAGAACGGGAAGGTGAGGCAAGGGCTTTGCAATCAATGACTACACAGCTAGATTCCACTAAATCCAACACACTAAAGACAGATTGATCGTGTTGAAAGTATAACAGACCTAGCAATCAAAGAGCAAAACATCTTGACACTTTGACCATTTTGGATGCGTAATTCATTCTCTCTTGGCGGAAAATAAAAAATAATAATTTATCAAAACTAAAGAAAGTTTCTGTTTATGTCGTATGTGCTAAATGTTGCATAAAAGCAATAACATAGACACTCAAGGTCATGCTAAACCGTGAGATATTGGCACCATTGTTAAGTGGCAATAGACAGAAGGCTGAAGGCCAAGTACTCCCTCTGGTGTTATTGCTTTATTAAAACGTGGTCATGAGGGACCTAAAAAGACTTGCATTTTATGGTTATACTCTTCTGGGAGAGCTAAAACCTTCAAGGCATGAGATGTGATTTACCAGTTTTTAAGAGAGCATCAACCTGACACAAAACACATTATTCTAGGCAGCTTTTTCCCAAATTATCCTTGGAGCTCAGCATGATATAGTGAATGAAATTTGACAACTTCAGAGAATTTATCCACCTAAAAAAGCAGTCAAGCGGACAAGACCTTAAAAAGCACATTGTCCAAGAGCACAAGCTTTTCTTGGACAAACTCTCATTACGTGATTTTGGAAAAATCAAATACAAATGAATACAGTCTAGTACTGACATATGGCAAACATGGTACACTGGTACACCACTGGTAAAACTGGTTTTGCATTCAAATGGCTACAAAAATGTAGTTTGAAACACATTGCAGTCGCCCTACGTGTCTGCAGCTATTCCCTGCCAGTGTGCCTCAGGTTCAATTCCCTGCTGACAGACCTACTTTGAAAAAAGTATGCACAGAAGCTTGATGAAAATTCCCGAACAATAACCAAAAGAAAACCCCATTGAATAACAGTTGGATACGTGTCCTTTATTCATATCTCATATATGTTTCTTTACATTTATACAAAAATACAGAATACAGTAGAGTTTTCACCCAGAATACCAACTGGGCAATAATTACATTTGCTTTTTGGCACCCAGACTTATTTCCTGCCTAGAGCCATTTCATTCACCCAGTGAAGTGGGATAGATTGGATCACTCGAGCCCAAAAGCACTGTTCAGGATGCAGCTCTGCTCACTCCCAGACCACACTACAAACCCATATAGGAACAGTATTTAAGGGTGGTCATTCTCTTGACTAATGCATGAAATTGCTTGGTTTCTGGCCTCCATGCATCAGACATATAGACTATTTGAGGCTCTCGCAAAGACAGGAAAATGGGACACCATGTTATTCTTTTTTGTTCACAGCTTAGACCTGTTGCAGCTCATGATATTCATAGACTATGTATAAAAAGCATTTTTTGACATAGTATACCTTGTTTGTTAGTTTGTTCGTGGCTAGTCTAGCCTGTGTCTCTGTTGGAATACTGGGCACTGCATATAATAGTCTTCATGTAGAGATGCAAAACCTAAAGATGATTGAAGAGAAAGTCTCAGGTCTAAACTGCCATTAATATTATGCTCCAATATTGTTCGAAAATGCATTTTTGAATAGAAATAACTGGCTTAAAGCTTTAAAATAACTTTATCACACCAGCAATTTCAGATAGTCCAATTAAAAGTTCTGTTGCTGTGGACTAAACACCAATGTGGTATAGTTTTTCTAATCCAGACTCAGCTCTAAAATGCCATAGAGAATATGACACAGGTTGCCATTAATTGTGATAAAAAATTGAGTGTTCTACAAAAATGCATTTTTGAAGGAATAAAGTTAACTTGCAGTTCAACACAACAAACAATACTTTACCACACCAAAGAATTCCAGCTATTGATGCTGAAAGGTACTGTTGCTCTGAACTATATGAACACCAATGTGGTATACTTTTTTTCAAACACAGATTCAATTTTGCACAGTATATACTCTCATCTCCTATAAGAAAAATTCCCAACATATAGTCCCAAATACACATGAAACAAGCAGTCACCAGTAGAAGTGTTTCCTAAAGGTTGCAAAGGCTATAATGTCACATGTGGACAGAAATGTCACAACCACTGCAGTTTATTCCGCAGACAGACTTTTCACTTTCTGAACCACAGTTTTTCCAGAACACTGTCCGAATCATAAGTGGGCACAGGTCAAATCAACTAAACTTTCATAGTTCTGAGTTTATTTAAAAAAAGAGAGAGAGATTGGGGGTCATATCTATTGGACAATTGTGGTGAGATTATTCTAATCTGCCATGTAATGATCTCTCCACTTTCTGCTACCACACAGAAATATAGACAGGCTTTTGACGTTTGCACACGTAGTCAATCACACTATCAAACAAGGCACAAAACCAAGAATGGACATGGAACAATGTAAGACCACAAACATGATAGAAATACTCAAAATAGATACAGAAACAGATGTTTGTGTCCTGCCACCATCATTGTCAGCTATTTGCAGCAGGGCAGCCTGATGGGAAAGGTCACAGCCAGCGTGCCCTGTTCATACTCCTACCTCTTTACTGATTCATTATTCATTCACACTGTTAATTAATACTCTTGATAATGACCTCTTTACCTATAATTCATTATTGATCTACTTTACTTCGTGTTTGGGCAAGGCTTAGTAGGAGTCAACCCCTTTTTAAATGTGTTTAAACCACTCTGTCCTCACAGCTCTGATAATATATGTTATCTCTGAGACAGGGAATACCTCCAGCTCCTGACTTATCAGATCTGAGAGTGCATAAGAGAAAGGAGGTAGGTGGGGGCACATTGATTTAACATTTGAATGAGCCTGAGGGCTTCTGCAATTGTATAAATACATGTGAATTGAACAACCTCACGTTAGCTGCTTGGATCTGACTACCTGAATGATTTCCTGCCCTTCATACAGATCTCTGTAGACCGGAAACAACTCTAACACTCATCACGTTTCTTTAAAAAAAATTTTTTTTTTGAAAGTTACACCATTGTGTGACAGTTCAGTATGTGAAGGAGATGACAGTGCACTTCCTTTGACAGTGTATTATGGCGCAACTTTAAGGCAAAATTAATATTTAGGTCTGCATGGCATTCCCATGTGGCGAACTTTTGGATTGTGAAAATAACTAAGGTGCATGTCCATACATTTCATAAACAGTGGTATCATCCTTCAGCATTTCATTAGCATTTGAGTCTTGATAAATGCACTAACTAGGTTTGTCAGATTGTCTATAATTGGATTTATTGCAAACACGACACTGATAACGGACAAAGGCAAAGCCAGTAAGAACAGATTACACCATGTGAATAAACAGTCTAAGCTAATGGGTTTGAGTTGTGAGTATATCTGGTGAGTATATTTGGTCATTCAGTGAACAGTCAAGATTTGATAGCTTGATTTAAAATTTAATATCATATAACATTTGTGTATTTTATCTTATTATTCATTTTTCTGTCTACAAACTGTTTTTCTTTCTTTGATCAATTTTACTGATTTTCTTTTCTTATCACAGAGGAATAGCTGTCAAAAGTCTCTCCTGTAACAGTATTTGCCTTGCAAGCATAAAGGTGAGATAAGTAAAAAATAAAGGCATTGTTGAGCTAACATTTACTATAGGAGGCCCATTGTTGTCTTACATCAGTCTAAAACTTACGTTCTGAATTCACCTTTTTTTTTTAATCCACAGAAGTCATCCCTGATACTCGTTAGAAGAATGTCATTGCAGATTCCAATGGTTTAAATGTAAGTTAGTCAAAGCAGCATATTTTGTATGTTTTTTCTCTCCATGTAATCCATTCACACATCCTAGTTCACCCATAATCATATATACCGACAACAACATCATATGAGGAAATTAAACGTGTTCAGGAATGTGTTTTCTGGGTTTACGATGTGTTAGTATACAGATTGTTCTTTAAATGTGACCCATTAGTAGAGGTGCTCTTAAATGATCGCTTGAAACATTTCAGTTGTATCAACAGCAGCAGCTCAGTGCTGCCACTAATAAATAAATACATCATACACTCTTGTGGGTACATGCCTAAACCAGACAATGTGACTACACCTTGGAACTACAATGTTTAACATTATATTCTTTGGGAAACCCCGGACTAATAGGGAACTGTAGAGCTGTTGAGGATGTGGTTAACGTGAGGGTCACCGGAGGTAGTAATTTAT